ATGAGGTCTTGCCAAGTTGCCCAGGCAGGTCTCAAACCCGCGGACTCAGGCAATCCACTCTCCTCAGCCTCCCAAAGGCGTGGGATTACAGGCTGAGCCACCGAGCCCGGCTTAACTCTGCCTTTCTGAGCCTTGGTTTCCTAGTCTCTGTAGAGGGGATCATAATAGTAGTTCATTTCCAGGGTTGACGTGAAAAATAAAAGGAAGAACCCTAATAAAGCGTCTGCAGACATCAACAGAGAATGGCTCCTTCCATCTCTCAAGAAGTGAGCCCATCCACCCTGCTCACAGCACAGTCTTCTGGGCTATAATTTGGTTTCTGGAGTGGACCTGCACCCCGGATGTACTGTCCTAAGCTAATTACCAATGCCATTTATCCTCCTGGTATAAATGAATAAAATGGCATCTGCTTTATAAACCCATCTCTGGTGATTGAGATGGAATGAGTCATTACTCCCAGAGCCTAATCACCCCTGGGGGAACAGACACAATGGAGTTTCTGGATGTGCAAGGCAGAGAGAGACCCTAGACTGTAACAGACCCCTGCTTCCCAGCAACAGACTGGGAGGAAAGACACAAAAAGGAAACCATTGTTAGAAATCCATGGAGGATGATGGTTATAAGGTCCCAGTGCCCTCAAATTCCCCTCCCAGCCTCTAACCCTTCCCCAGCCTTGTGGCTTCTCCTTCCCCATTCCAAACACGAAAATTCCACTAAAACCCAAAATGGCCAGAGCTGAAACCAGAGCCAAGGAGAAGATTCAGACCTGTGCAGGGAGTAGCAGTTTCCCTCTGGGAGAGGCACAAGGGGTCAACAGGGTGCCAGGGGTAGGGGGAGAGTGCAGACAGCCTGGAGCTCTGGGGCAAGAAGGAGCAGGGGTGGGGGGGGGACATTCCGGAGGTTGTTACCTTGAGTAGGTTGAAGAGCAGGGGCAGAGCCCGCAGTGGCAGCAGTTTGGCCATGATGCCCAGCACCAGGCTGACATCCTCCCCCACACGGCCCACAAGCTCAGCCACTTCCTTGCCCACCCGTTGCAGGGTGGTCTTACGCAAACCCAGCACGATGTAGAGGGCAGCCAGGTATTCCTGCATGGCAGGCACAGTAAACACGAACGTGCCTGGGCGCCCTGGCTCCACACACGGGGCCAGAAAAAACCTTAGGGCATCCCGGCGGAAGACATGCAACAGCTGAAACTCCTCTTCTGTCTTGATGCCAGCCTCCAGGCAGCCACGAACATCCTCTTCAGAGAAGTAGGTCTTGCGGGAGGACACCCCCTCATAGGCCAACTTGCCCATGGTTCGGGCTGCATAGGCCATTAGAGACAAATTGGAGGGGTCAGTACTGTCCAGTGTTTCTCCACTGAAGTTGAGGCGCAGGAAGCTGGTATAGATACCCGTAAGGGTCTGCCCAGCAGGTGTAGGGGCATGCAGGAAGTGCAAGGTGGCACAGACGAGCCAGCAATATGAGGGCAGGAAGCAGGCGGCGGCGATCTGGTGGTGCCCCTCCAGGTTCCGAGACAGCATCTGCACCAGGTTGTCACGCTGAGCAGGTGTGGCGGAGACACCTGTACCCCTAGCGGCATGCTCACAGTCAGGCTGGTTGAGACGGAGTTGGAAGTAGAGCTTCTGCAGGTTGGTATCAGAGAAGCCACAGATCTCACCATAGCGGCCCACATACTTGCTGGGGATGCGGCCAATGGCAGAGGGCCGGGTGGTCACCAGAATGCTGGCCTGGGAAGAACATGGTTGAGGTTGAAACACCTTATTATCAGCCGGGTTCGGTGGCTCAGCCTGTAATCCCAGCACTTTGGGAGGCTGAGGTGAATGG